TTACACGATGCAACGATTTGTGAAACCTGTCTCGCAACGACGCTGCGAGACAGGTTTGGCGACACATTGCACCCTTCCATGTCGCGAACCTGTGTCAGTTTCTGTTACGAGACAAGTTTCGCGAAATGTTGAAAAGATTCAACTTTTCGCAACGATTTCGAGCTCCTTTTGCTGGCATTGCACCGTGTAACACCATTTGTTAAACCTGTCTCGCAATGTTTCGATACACTTAACCTGCGAACAGGCGTTTACAGAAACACATTAAACAAGCAACCAAACAGATGGAAGAACAATACCCAAGGTCATCAAATTCAATACTAGCTCAAGGTCATTCGTGCACGATGGAATTTTCAAATTGTTTGCACCCATGATTTGATGAGTGGCTTGTTTCTCGATGATAATATGTGAAATGGCTGTGCGTCTAATACGAAAATTGTACTCAACAAGAGATTTACATGTTCACTTACCCTAAAAAGGGTAAGGTCACAGCCATTCTTTCGCCCGGGATAATGCTCTCCCGCATAATTGTATTTTGTTTTTGGATACGGTATGATACCTGGTCCACAATAAAGCAGAAATGTTGTGAATTCATTCTGAAGAAATTCTTGTAAGAAATTCTCTTTTACCAGATGATGATAACACCCAAATTCTTTCCTTCTTTCGATCATGGTCTTACCCAAGTATCCATCTTCTTTCTTTTTTCGAGGTCTGCTGAGCTTTATCGTCTATTAAGTCAAGCAGTATCAAAAGTGCCAGAGCTCGCTTTCTTCGGTAGCGAATTTCAGTCATGAACATTCACGATTCAAAGTTCAATGTTTCGTGCGATTTTCTCCCGCGGCCGGATGTTACAAGTGTGAAGTCTGGTGACTAGTCTTCTTGATGCGAGCTTCGCGATCCTGTTACACGATGCAATGGTTTGTGAAACTTGTCTGAAAGACGGGTTTCACAAACCGTTGCATCGTGTTAAGCCGGTTTTCCATTAGGCGGAATTTTGCGCGCGGAGTGGAATTTTTCTTTGTCTTTTCTAATTAGTTCCACCCGAGAAATCACAAGACAAAGAAAAATTCCGCTCCGCGCGCAAAATTCCGCCTAATGGAAAACCGGCTTAAAGGCTTGTTCTCCACTAGACGGAATTTTCCGCGCGGAGCGGATTTTCTCTTTGTCTTTTCTAATTAGTTCCACCCGAGAAATCACAAGACAAAGGAAAATTCCGCTCCGCGCGGAAAATTCCGCCTAGTGGAAAACGGCCTTAACAGATGCTTAACGTACTATCGCATCGTGTGCCGAAGATATGTTTGCGGATATACAAAGTTTTCTTTCTCATGCAGACATATGTCCATCTATTTGCACAGAAAAGGTTTGAATCATATAAAACTTCAGTTCTCCAGACCCCAAGAGTCACAAGAGAACACATTAATAGTCGTTCAGCCTTCAGATCCCAAAACAGAGCCATAAAAAGATTAGCGATCCATTTTCTATCGATTTAAATTAAAATCGTTTTACTCTGGCTCGCCGTGTTATGCTTCAATGCTGAAATATCGTCGATATGTCCTCGCCATAAATCTTGTAATGTCATTTGATTCACGATCAGATTTAAATATTCTTCACAAATAAATATACTATATTGAGTAGCGCAATGCCGATGTCTACAGACGCCTGTTGCAGTTTTGCCGTTTGGGAATTAGTGCATGGTTACTTTCATGCAAATTCATATAGGCAGCACAGTATGTGGCACGAAACTGTCAAGTCATCAAATTCCACTGAAAATGAACTAAATTTGCGTTAATTAACAAATAGCGGCCGGGTCGCCTTCTAAAGTAATATCAGTTTTAACATTCTGCAGATATTCCGAGTTTTAATTTACTAGGTAAAGGATGTCATGCATCAATACATCGTGCGTGCTAGTTTTTCAGGAAATGAGCGACACGTCCCGAGTTATAACATCTCATGCATACAAATTTCGCGTTTACGTTCTGTACATATAAAGCAATCGTATGTAAATCACCAAGACACTGCCAACCTTCGTGCGAAAAAATTATGCCAAACGTTTAGCCAATAAGAGTTCGCTATTCTACGGTTGAGAATGGATTGAGTGCCGTCATCCAATAGGGAACTGTAGTTTTGACGATTGTTTCGTTCAGTAATGAGGCTTTAAGATCGTTTACGTGCTTCGGTGCATGTTAACTATTATGACTTCGACACTAAAGGGAATGTTACGTTACGGTTGAAGCGGAAACGACCTTCTGAACCAGGCTTGATATTTCAACAATACTGTTGGATTGATTCGAGCAGATATTAGATGATTGCCTCGTTATATATTATGCCAAATATTCTTTATTTTCATCGGGCACAAATTAGCATATTGACATGAACAAAAAGACAAAAATCTTTCAAAAGTAAGGAAAGTGCCCGCAGATATTCTCCTGGTATTCAAACCTGGCAAATACCAAATTCAAGCAATCCCAAGTATAATTTACTCCACACGATTTATACGAAGATTTCATATTTTTTGTTTTCCATTTTAGGATAATATATGAATACCAATTGAAGATCAACGACGCTGGCGTTTTAATACTTAGATAATTTAGCACTATTGTTGCATATACTTAACATTTTTAGACGAATCATAGACTCAGGGGCGTGGCAAAATGATGGGGTGTCATATTGATAATAATCACGTTTCTCAATGAGTATGAGAACGATTTTCTTTTCTTTTTGTTGAAGGAATATTGCAGCTTTTTCATCACAGAATATGTTAAATGTGCTCGTTAGGGCTTGTTGGGTATGTACTTTTCAATAATAGTTGAAAAAGCTTCTGACCAAAAACGTATTTTTAAACTTTCAGCCCATTTTCAGCAAAACCCCAAAATGTTTGACTAATAGCAAATCATTTTTGATGAACCTGTTAACGATTTTTTTAGGGGAGGGGAGGGGAGGGAAGGGCTGTCGCGTCCTCCTCGCCTCCCGGTTGCCACACCCTGCCGAGACTACTTTCTATTTCTATATACTCAGCTTAGAATTTTTATTACATTTTAACTTTGATTTAATTTTATATTTTTCATGTATTTTGCACAAGTTAGCATTACTTAATAAATTGTAACGAAATCAAGAATCATTGATAATTAAATGTCAAATCACCTGAAGTTCAGACTTCATTTTATTGAATCAGTCTTACGTTTTCAGCAAAGGGCCGCAAAGTGAATCGTAATGAAGTCGCCAACGTTCAATGAACAGGTTTTGTGTTTGGTCGATTATAACAATGAAATAAACCTTAAGAACAAATTTTCGAATCCACGAATAATTTTTGTTTAATTTTTTGCAACGCATGATCAGTTTAGGTTGGTTCCGGATGAGTCGGTATACCACATTTATGTTAATCATGTAATACACGTTGATCGTTAATACTGGGAGTCACTATCGCAAAGAAAGTGCTCCCTCGGACTCGCATTAAAGCGGTGATAACGTATAATTCTGGAATGAAACTTCGAAAAACACTCTTTAGTCCAAAGACACCAGATAGTCAGATCATGCAAGTGAATGGAAACATGACGTTCGTTGATTTTCTTTGCTACTTGAATTTATTGTATCCGCCTATCAAGTTTCCAAATTGAAATTTGTATAACATCCAAACCGACGCAGCGAGAGTCGCATAGATCGCGCAAGACTGAGCACGAGTGAAGATTGCAGTTCCGTGGACGAGCAAAACGCATTAACATGAAGTACTATTTCATTCGAGAACATGAGTTGCTACAGTTTACTGTGAAACTTCGGTACTGCAGCTGTGATCGCAGATATTTTAAGGGATCAAACCCAGCTAAGTTTAGGAAGCTTAGAAAGATGCTTGTCTTAAGCTCAGAGCAACCTCGTACCCAGGCTCTTTCCACTACGGGGTTGAGCTCAGAGCAGATAAATAATGAACAGTTAAGCTGGACATGTAGCCATACGAGTGAGGAGTGTTGAAAAATGCTCTCTAGAACTTCACTATAAGTACTATGTCTGGTTTAATGTTTCGGTAACAGTCAATATCGCTTCATACCAGCTAAATAAGCGAGATTTGCATTACGCAAATTGCCTGCAGAGCAAGTGAAATGAAATGACCTTTGTTGTCCACCAGTCTTAAGGTACTATTTAAAACACGAGTAGGAGTGTTTTATCAGATATACATGTATAACGCGAGGCGCAGCCGAGCGTTATATATCTGATAAAACACGACAACGAGTGTTTTCAATAGCTTAAAATACGACTACAAAAGAATACTAATTAGGATCAAACCATAGTATAATCATGCTAATTAAGATGAACAATTATATAATGCCACATGTACTTGCAAGTGATGAACCAGGCGGGAATCGTAATCGTAGTATAAAGATTAATGCCCAGCATAACGTACGCAAAAGAGCCATATAGACAATAATATAGACATAAAATTTATTTAAGAAGTACTAACGTTTCGTCTTTAACCTAAGACATCTTCAGAGTAAATGAATATAGTATGACAATGAGTTACAAATATGAATAAATTACTATTTACAATATCAAATTACAAGTCACATGTGTTTTATCAGATATAAAGTCATTAAAATAAATAAATAGATATAAAGTCAATAAAAGTTATTAATAATAATAAAGTCACTCCACGTGACATATTATGGCTGATTTGCCACAAGGTTTATGAATTATTAATGAGTATTTTAAGGTGAAGTAATATGAGCAACACCATAGGCTGTAGACAGCGTGACCGGCTCTTTTATAGGGCAGTTAATTAGAAAATTAAACGAGACTTACCTGTAAGGTGAAGTTTGATTGAGATTCTACGAGTTATTGGTTAGGAGCGAAGGAGTCACGTGTGAGATAGCGCGGGAAGGATCGAGCGGCAGTCTTTAAAGGGAGTGCGAATGGTCATTGATATTTAGTACCCGCTGTAAAGCCGTAGGGCTGGGTAAAACCGTAGGGTGGGTCCGTGACTCCTTCGCTCCTAACCAATAACTCGTAGAATCTCAATCAAACTTCACCTTACAGGTAAGTCTCGTTTAATTTTCTAATTCTACTTTGTGGCATTGGTTAGTTCGCTACGGAGTCACGTGTGAGACTTTAAAGTAATGACCATGAGCACTGTAACTTTGCTTTAATATCAACAACTTCAACACGATACATGCTTAATCAACGTTAACAATTTCTAAGAGTCTATGACCAAAATTTTCTTTTTGATCACTTTCAATTGGTTTGTCATAAAATTTACTGAATGTTTTCGTGTTCGACCACCCAGCTGCGTCCATAATGGTACTAATTGGCATGTTGCCAACTTTTGCTGCAGATGTAGATGCTGATCTTGTGCTGTGAGCACCAAATACCTTAATGTCTATGCCTGCTTTAGTTCAAGTCTTTTTGATCCACTTGCCAATGGTTTCTGATGAAACTGGTTTATATGGTTTCTGGTAACTCAAAAGTAGTTGAGAATTGTTCTTTCTTAAAGGTAGCGTCCTTGCCACATACTCTTTGAGGACATTTCCTGGCATATCACTTTGTCTGCTGTAAAAACTTTGATCTCAATCTTTCTAGACTGCGAGCAATCCCTCTATTTTCCTTCGTTTTATTGTTTCCCGGACTAAGATTGAACGCGCGGGAAAATGGCAAAAAGGGGCGGAGACGAGAGGAAAAATAGAGGGATTGCCGCTTTAACTAATTGTCAAGCGTGTTTGATTTTCCCGTTGCAGAGACAACGGGAAATTCTGATTGGTTAAAAAACAATAAATATTCTGATAACATTAAAACCCATCACTCAGCTGGCTTTATACTGTAAACAGACATTTGCCGAAATTAATATCTATCTGGCAGCGGGAAGCAACGAAAATTGATACGTATGTAGTTGAAAGTCTTACAACAAGCTTACAGAAACAAACGCTTGCAATAGAGTGCCTACTTGAAGGTAGAGATGTTCTAGCTGTCCTTCCTACGGAATTTGGAAAGAGTTTCCTGTTGGCTGAAGATATTCGAAGGGTTTGTTCAAGCCCAACTAGTATTCTAGTATTTAAGTTGTTCCTCTTCGTAGCATTATTGATGAACAGTAAACAGTTACGGTCCAACGACTTTGCATTAAGGATGATCGCATTTGGAAATATTAACTCGGCCGTTCTTATAGTGGGATCAAGGAAACCAATTTTCAAACATTTGTGCATGCGTCTGCTGATGAAGCTTTGAGCCTTTGTCTCCTCAATTTGTTGCCTTGTTGAAGAATAAAAGCTCGCCATTCAGAAACGAACTGTCCCTCATAGTCGTTGATGAATGCCACACAGTTAGGCTAATTAATACATGCATGGTGACTTGGTGAGTTTATGGAGTTTGGGTTCATTATAATGTTGCATGTCTTTGTAAATATGTATGTATGTATTGTATATTGTATATTGTATGTATTGTTTTGATCTTAAATGGAATAGTCATGTTGACAGTATCAATGTATCATTAATTAAGAAAGCCTCTAAAAGATTGCATTTTTTACGATAGTTAAAACGTGCGAATGTACCCGCTGCTGAGATGATTTGTTTTTATTGTACTTGCATCCGACCGAGATAGTAGAATATGCATCGCCCGTTTTTCATTACGGAATCCCAAATTACCTGAGTATAAAAGACATTGAACGGATACAGAAATCATTGAAGATCCAAATCACAAACTTCGCGGCACTATTGCCGGATTTGAACTCAAATACTGCACATTAATCCCTGAGAACAATGAGAACCTTTGACTTTCCAATAATTAAGACTAATAAATACATGAACACATTCATAATCGCAAGTTCTAAACGTTTTAATTCATAGTTTTAGCATCCGTATACATTTGCATGTTTCCAATTTTCAAGTTTAAATTTTAAGCTTTGTAAACATACAGGCATAGAGGTTTAGTTTATATAAATTAGAAACACTCCTTGTAAATCTTAACCATGTAATTCAGCTTAATAGCTGTATTAAGTTGGTAATTTTTTATTACTGTAAACTATTAAACTATGTCAAAACATTGTCGTAGAAAGTCACACGGTCTATAGAATAGACCCTTCAATAAACCCTAAGACCCCTTGCCTTGCTTTATACGGTTTCCTGCCAAACAAATTCTGATTATGAATATTCATACTTGCCAAACTGAAATTTGAGAATTTAAATACGAATTTAAATACACGTTGTTTGATGGTTTTACCCTAAGCGAATTGAGTCATTCGAGACCGCGCCTTTCAAGAGATGTTTTTGACCCTGTTTTGAAATATAAACAAGTAGGCGGAGCTTAATCAAACACGCTTGACAATTAGTTAAAGCGGCAATCCCTCTATTTTATTAGGGATTGCTCGCAGTCTATGCAACTTGCAATGCAATTCTGCTCTTGAGAGATGTTAATTAGTGAAATCAGTGAAGAATTTTCGATATGTTGAGAAAACATCAGCGGAGTGTAATGAAGACTCGTATTTGGCAATTTTACATCTCTCAAGAGTAGAATTGCATTGCAAGTTGCAAGAAAAATTGCACCGTGTAACATGACCTTAAGGAAAGTGTTGGAAATTATAATATTTTCCAATGACGGGAGAATTACAAAATATAAGGATATCATGATGTATTTTATCTGGGATAAAATTATGGAAAATAAGCTAATTATATTATAATTAATATTTCTTACAAAATGTGCAACAATTGTCGGTGAAGATTTTTTGTAAAAAATTCCTGATAGGGACTGCCGAATAATGCGTTCTGTATTTACATACCCCTAGTTTATAGTTTTTAATTATTTATATACATGTACCGAGTCATTTTTCTGGTTTTTAGAATAAAATTCATCAGCTTGATTTTTATTTTATTTCTGTAGCATAATTTTGGCAGACCTGTTTAGTGGACTAGATCCAGAGCTTCAAAGTTTCATTCACTTTGGTGATAAATTGGATAGCTTGTAAGTATACTGTCTATTATAGGGTGTATAAAGTCCTCTATTGAACTGTACATTTCCAAAAGAATAGTACTAACATAAAGATATTACTCGGCTGTGATTGGTTGATTTCAGTGCACCCTTCGGTGGCCAAGTGGTTAGCGCACTTGCCTTTCACCTCTGAGGCTGCAGGTTCGAATCTCACTAAGTACCTTCTCAGTGCGACTCGAACCCAGTCCTCATGCGGAAAGAGTAAAAGTCAACGCTCTGCCGAAAGCCGTGGGTTTTCCCCGGGTACTCCGGTTTCCTCCCACAGGGAAAGTTGACAGGGTGGGTTAGGTAAAAAGGGCCCACAGTAATTGGCATATGCTGTTGTGGTGACCCTGCCCTAGTTGGCAAAGCTAAATAAATAAATAAATAAGTTAATCCCAAACAGCAGTGCAATTTTCTGTAATCACATTGCAATTTTCTGTAATCACAGTGCAATTTTCTGTAATCACAGTGCAATTTTTTGTAATCACAGTGCAATTTTCTGTAATCACAGTGCAAAAATCTGTAACAAACTGATCTGATTGGTGGAAAAACATTGTGATGATTACATAAACCAATCAGTTTAAAGCAATTTAGTTTAAAGAAGTAACGGTCACAGATTGCTTCAAAACAAAACAAACATGGCGCCGCGCTACACAAAGTAAAAGTTGCCTTCGCGTGGAAAATGTGGCTTTTATCTTTATTTGTAAATGGAAAAGCATTTACCTTAAACAAGACTAACAACAATTACATAGTTGAGTGGAATTTTCAAGCTGTTAGCGTTGTATAATGTGATATAACAAAGCCAGGAAAAGTTTGCCGGTGGAATGTTCGCTATAAACGCGTAAGTTTAAACTACAATTGTCTCGAACATTTTCATGTAAATTATTAATAAGTAATAGCATGGTTTCTCGTGAAATTTGGATAAACATGCACTCGTGAGTTTTTAAAAGACCTCAAATAGCACTCGTCCTTCGGACTCGTGCTATTTTGAGGTCTTTGAAAAACTCACTCGTGCATGTTATATCCAAATTGCACTCGAAACGATGCTATTACCTATACTTACATACTTCCCTAGACTATTTGTCTTTACAACAATTGTGATATTACTTTCCTAACTATGTTCATCCTAACCCACCCTGTCAACTCTCCCTGTGGAAGGAAACTGTTTCCCTGTGGGAGGAGCGCCCGGAGAAAATCCACGTCTTTCGGCAGAGCGTTGACAGACACTTTTCACATGAGTCCGTGCGAGAATCGAACCCACGATCACAGAATAGATACAGGACCAGAAGTGTCACTCAGACGATATTTTGTCCGAAATTTTACGAGTGCTGACGTGAAAATACGCCATCATATGACGCCATCCTGGAGTGTACACGGAAGTTTTTCATAGGAAAACATAGGTACAAAGTGCCGGGTGCACTCCAGGATGGCGTCATAGCACGCAAAAAAATTTCGGACGTTTTCCTTCAGCCAAAACAAATAGGAGTGACACTTCTGGTCCGGTTTCTATTCTGTGCCACGATCTCAGACGTGAAAGCCACTGCGTCACCGAAGCGGCCCTATACTACTATACTGTTTTATCTTCAACAGTAATACAATGTACATGCTGGTACGTATTGGTGATTACGTTATGGCACATCAGGCTTCTGGTATCCATGTATCATTTCTCAGTCATCAGCTTGCTCAGTCATTGATCTTGGTCAAGAGATTGTTCGATAAATTTATTGTAAGTATTTACATGTAAGCGTACAATGTGGTTGGAAATAAAGTGTTTGCCCATCAAGGCATGTGATTCCTACATCTATTGCCGTAAGAAGTAACAATTGTTAGCTGATTTCTGCAGAATTTCTAACGGACCAGATGGTATTCAGAATTATATTACGCAAATAAAAATGAAAAACATTTCAATGAGCGATGACTCACATTAGGGGCGGACCATTAGAAAATTGATGAGGCGGGCGACAGAAAGGAAAAAAAAACGTCAAAGAGGAAAGCAATGAAAAATACCTTTTAAAATTCCGCAAAAAGAATCCCACACAAGCAGACGGAAGCTGAACCCCCCCCCCTCCCCCATCACTTTTCTAATAGTCTACCCCTTCACGATGGGAAAGGGCTCAAAATGACGTTTTCATCAGGTCTTGGTGACCGCTCAGTTCCATTTGTGATCGGATAAACGAGATTTCTGATAGGAAAAACATTGGAACGACGTTGTCAGCTCTCAAGCGCCCTACCAAAAACAATAAAACACGAAAAAGACTCGTACTAGTAATAAGGCGTTGTCGCTTGATCTCATTCTCGTGAAATCGTATTCGCTGGCGACGATACGGTGACAATATTCAAACATGAAAAGATTTTTACCCAGAAAATCCTAAGCTTACATGCAATTTACATAATATTTAGCCAGTCCAGAATATCTCGGGAAATCAATCTCGTTTCCAGAGCCTGAATGTGACCGGTCACTAAGTCACTATGATCGGCGTCATACAAATTTGGCTCGTCATTGACCGGTAACCGGCGGTTATTTTCAGCTCTGCTTGGATTTTTTCATCGGGAGTTTTATCTAGTATACGGGTTTTGCCTTGGGGGGGGGGGGGTTGCAAGGTTTTTTTGTCATTGCGGATATTGTGATTGGGGGTTTTGTCGCTTCCTGTCATGTAAGAGTTTTGTTGACGAGGGTTTTGTCGTCGTGGGGGTATTGTCGTCCAGTGTTTTGTCGGTATTCTGTCACCATTTCCATTACCCTGCTAGACTATTCCTTTTTAATTTGTGCATGCATCAAAGGAGTTGAATTTGCTTAATCTGGCCTTGTCTCAAATGGCCCAATTACCGATAAGAATCAAGTTGTGTTGTATCAATTTTGTGAGATCATTATGCTAAAAGTTTCTGCTCGTTATTTTTTTAGATTGCGCTTGGAAAACAAGTTGAAGAAACGAAAGTTCCAAAGAAAAGTAGATGTGGTATTTTGCCATTTGTTTCTAAATTCGAGGTATGCTGCCGGATTATTGTAAAGTGTATCTTTCGTTGCAGACTGAGCCTCGCAAATTGGGCAATCGTTGGTGGCCTTGAACGTGTACTGTACTTTTGGTCGTTATTTCAACACTTATAAAAGTTGTCGTTTTTTATCAATGGAGTAGTTTTAAAGGGCCTATCCTGTTTTGACGGCACCAAAACACCGTTTTGTTAGTCGTGTATAGGTACCCGAATTTAAACTTGCACCCGTAAAGAAATTGAACTTGATATTCCCAGAGTCTTACACACATTTTATACGATTACAATTTTTTAGAGTTTTGCAGAAACCGCTGAATTGATTTTCAAGAATTCAGACCGCCGTAACGACTTGGATAAATCATATCGTTATCTTGTCGGGGTCGTGTTTAAAAACATTGAGAGAGCCGCTGTTGAAAATCAAAAAACGCCCGCTGACGTTATACAATTTGGTAAGTCTCACGTTTTGTTGGCTTTGTTTCAACTTGTGCGTTTTCACGTCTGTGCTGTATACATGATATACCGTATTTACTCGATCTAGCGCCGCCCCCGAATGAGCGCCGCATTTGAGATCATTTTTTTTTAAAGAGCGCCGCCCCCGAATGAGCGCCGCACTAAACAGTGTAATAATTTTCCACCGTCAAAATGGGGACATTTAGTGATAAAGACATTCAAAACTTGTTTATTTTATTGTTAAAAGTTCTTGATATAATTCACAAATAAAAGTTTTTTTAAAGAGCGCCGCCCCCGATTGAGCGCCGCCCTCGAATGAGCGCCGCATCTGAAGCTCTGAAAATTTAAAGAGCGCCGCGGCGCTCAAACGAGTAAATACGGTACGCGAGGAGTTTTAATTAGTGGTTGGAAACACCAAAATTGTGTTGCATATCATACATGAGAAAAGTTTTATTAAGTATACAGTATTAATATAATCATCTGGGTTCACTCTGCCTTTCATTGGTCGAGACGAGTGGTGATATATTACAAGCCACATGCATGCACAGGTGGATGGTGTCTTTCGAGTGACGTGATATATTTAAGCCAGTCACAGCTCTATTTAGCCTCCTGCGCAAACATCTCTTTGTAGGCTAAGCTCTTTTAGAAGCAACACCAGTGAAGACAACGATGTAGGCTGATTTTCTTTGTATTTTGGTCATGAATAATTAACAATTGAGCAGTCTTGTTTATAAACAGTGTTTATCTTGTTGAGTCAATAGTATAAGTACTACATGGTTGTTGGAATTAACAAAGTGAAAACTGCCACGAAGACATAATTATTATTCAATGATATCCTAGCTATTGCATGTTCAGCGTACTGTTATTTAAGTCAGAAAATGATTGATTTCTTCACATGTATAAGTTTCGTATTCAACATTAAATTATTGCTTGAAATAATTTGCATGTAAAATTGGAGGTAATATCCAGTACTGTATCTTTACTAACAATGAATATATACCCCTTGACATTTGTGTGAAAATAATATTCTTTCTTCCCTTTCTGTAGAAAATTATCATCACTTATACGGTAAGTTCCCTCGTCGCAATTAATGTATACTTTATATTGCAATAGAAATTTCATTCGAACCACCACTTCATTTTTAGGTGTTTTATCACGGTTAAAAATCGCTAGTTTGGACGGTGAAAGGAAACAAGCAAAAGTGCAGTACACTGAACATATGAATACGTACGCAACGTATATGTTTGGACGACCGATGGAAAAACTCAATGTAAGCAAAAGATTCTTAGACTTACCACTTCGAACTGCTAAACTACAGTGATGAATATGTACAAACTACAGTGAAGAATATATACAAACAGGGTATAGAATAACTCGTAGGTTACATCATAGAAAGATATGTTCTACAAAGACTATAATACATTGATAGCGGACGTGAGAAAGTAATTAACAAAAGTGCATGTGGGAATTAAGGACCTACACATGCAGAGCATGACAAAATAGCATTTTGTTTGTGTTGGATCGGTTGTGCTAGATCCATGGACATGTAAATATGGTAAATGATATGAGCGAATTGAATTTTGAGGAGAACAGTAAGACGTGCCTGTACCATACAACAACTCAACAAGATAGAAAAATACAGGACAGGACTACATAGTACTATAGTAGCTCAAAATATCACATGACGTTGACGGGAAAGATTTATAAATGCAAGTGATAGGTCCCTCAAGACAGGGTATAAATAGCAAGACATTTTGGGTGGATCGGATGAGGCAGAGATCGTTATTGTTTCGGCCAGTTCAAATTAGTACTGCAGAGTCCTCTGGAGAATAGAGGACTGTTGATATGACAGGTCATAATACCCTGGTTGCTTGTAGTGTCTTGTAATAGCAAATAGATACTACAATGACCAAGTGACTATTTTAATAATTTGGCCTCAGATTCTTGTGAGAAGAGTGCTCTACAGGAGGGAGGACTGTAGTACACTCCATACATTTCTCCTGGTAGCTGGTTAACTCCCTAGTAATATTGTAGTATATTATATTTGTAATTACTAGTAATATAGTAGTATATTAGTAGTAGTAGTGGTAGTATATTTGTCCAAGTGACTATTTTAATAATTTGGCCTCAGATTCTTGTGAGAAGAGTGCTATACAGGAGGACTGTACTACACTCCATACGTTTCTCCTGGTAGCTGGTTATCTCTCTAGTAATATAGTAGTATATTATATTTGTAATTACTAGTAATATAGTTGTATATTAGTAGTAGTTGTAGTATATTTGTCCAAGTGACTATTTTAATAATTTGGCCTCAGATTCTTGTGAAAAGAGTGCTATACAGGAGGACTGTACTACACACCATACGTTTCTCCTGGTAGCTGGTTATCTCTCTAGTAATATTGTAGTATATTATATTTGTAATTACTAGTAATATAGTAGTATATTAGTACTAGTAGTAGTAGTATATTAGTAGTAGTAGTAATAGTATATTTGTCCAAGTGATTGTTTTAATAATTTGGCCTCAGATTCTTGTGAGAAAAGTGCTATACAGGAGGACTGTACTGCACTCCATACGTTTCTCCTGGTAGCTGGTTATCTCTCTAGTAATATACTACAGGGACCAGTCACGAATTACGCTCTCCAGATATCAAAGTAAAATAATAGATAAAACTCATTGAGGTACATGGAAAAAACATGAATCACTGGACAACTTATTGTCAATTGCTAAAGCATCTGCCGTCACAACTTATGCGATATACTTGTATATGTATCAATAATTAATATCAGCTTGTTGTATTTTTAGACTTTCTTTGACGGCATTGAAGAAAAGTTGTCAAGTGGCGTAAAGGCGGAAGAAATAGGTTACCAACTGGCATTCAGTAAACAAGAACTGAGGAAAGCGATAAAGGAATATCCCGAGAAAGAGGTATAAAACTCACCTGTTTATTCAATGCTGTAAGCTAGATAAGCCAGGACAGGGTTTATTTTTTGAAGAATGGGCTTCGCGTTATTCCCATAATTTTTGGTGATGGTGAAAGGATGCACCCCTCTCAGAATTTTATGTTAAAGTGGAAGTCAAGTCCGTTCTGCGCATCGGTTCTGCTCATAACAATGTGAGGACCTCTGAATGTAAACATTGCCCAAATTTCGAATGTTTCGAATTTTTCTGAACATAAACTCTATTTCATATTTATTTAGAAGCATAGCGAACCAAAATGGTGTTAGATATTCAGACAGCACATCATATTTTTAAAAAATACAGCAGTTCAAAATGTAAACAAACCGTTTGTTTACATACGGACTTAACTTCCACTTTAAATATGTATTTTATATTTTCATCATTTTTAATGATGTTGTTTATTTCGTATAATAATATTTCACAAATCTCCCAGTTTTATAATTATTACTAAGAAGCTTATATTTTATTAACTTTAATTAGTCATGTTATTTTCTTTTTGCACCCTTGAAGAAATTGTGGACAATCTTACGGTTCTTACCCATGTTAATTTTTATATTTTAGATAAAGAAAGGCTTGGAACATCTCTATAAGAAAGTTGAAAAACATTTATCTGAAGAAGAAAATTTACTTCAGGTTTGTCATTGAAGTATGATTTTTTCTGTGTTGGTGTTATGTACTGTATTCAGGCGAATATGATGTTTGTGATGTTACTCTGAGTGTATATCCACACCCGGCAAGCTTGAAAAATATGCCTGGCCACGGTGGGAATCGAACCTACGACCTGGATTGGGCAGAGCATTAGGCTAGTATTCCAAAGGTCGTATAGGTTCGATTCCCACCGTGGCCAGGCATATTTTTCAAGCTTGCCCGGTGTGGGTATACACTCAGAGTAACATCACAAACATCATATTCACCTGAGTACATAACACCAACACGGAAAAAAATCATGATTACTAGATTGCATTGATATGGAAGGAACTAGACTCATGCAGTTCCGAAATATCACTTACTCGAACCGTCCTGACCGCGTAGCTCAGTTGGCAGAGCATATTAGGCTAGTATTCCAAAGGTCGTAGGTTCGATTCCCACCGTGGCCATGCAGGCATATTTTTCAAAATTTTGAAATCTGGAGACTCCAAAATTGCTATTTAGTACTTGGAGGGGGGGGGGGGCATTTTAAATAATTCTGAATACTATAACAAGTTAATGTTTAACACTTTTACTCGCAATGTGCTTGTCTTTCAACATATATTTTAACTCAAAGCTACTGTAAGAATTTCTTCATATACTCTCATTAACTATGATAAAAAATACAGACAAAGACTTACTATATACATTCACATTTCATAATTTCACACAAAAATGTGTTAAAAGGGCCTAAGGAGGGGGGGGGCAACAGGAGGGCCTGGGGGGCAAATGGCCCCCAGTACATATGTTAAAATATGCCTTGCTTATTGACCAATTAGTTTAGAGGGTATAACAGTGACTCAAAACATCTTATTTTATTTTATTTTCGACAGGTTGTATGGCGTTCCATGCAAGAGAAATTTATCCAACAATATAAGTATTTTGATGAACTCATAAACCGTTGCTATCCGGGTTCAATGATAACTTTAGACTTCTCCATTGACAGTTTATTGACGTTCTTTTCAGATATTGCGCAATCTCATTGATTACAATTTTGTAAATATTCCACACTGATCGGGGACGCTGGAACTGAGGGGGGAGGGGTGTTGTAGTAATACCTGCCTCCTCCATTATACATCACCTATTTTGGAGAGTTTGCCTGACTGAATCAATACTTCTGTAGTGCTCTTTGATGAGATCATGCAAACCTCGCTTTTTTATTGTTCAGGCGTCCCAGGTTCTAATCTTAAAATATGCTAGATACAGTACACAAGCATTGAATCTAACCCAGAGTTGCCATACTGGTAAATACTTGCTGAAGCCAATACTAAGAATATGACGTTCCCCGAACAAAGGATCCTAAGGGATTACCGGTAGTATATTTTTAAAATTAAAATGTTATTACAAAAAAAAAGAATAATATAGATACCCTTGAATAAAAACTGTAATGTATATTGAATGAATGAAAAAATTGAGTACCAGTTAGTACTCCAGCTAAAATTTGGGTTTATTACGCAAACTTATTTGTCTAGAATTCATCGAATGGTTGACCCTTCGAGCTTGTATTTTTCAACTTTCTCGCATTTCTTTGAACAGTTATTCAAGTACCTGTTTTGGTGGAAAAAATGACAAAGAAGTGGTCAAGTGAAGTTTTAAGACCCACTAAAGGTTCGAGCTGTGATTGCTTTGACACTTGCCTCGTTCTTTAATAAATCTCGTTTTATTTATACTGGGCAATCTCAATTGATGAATTGGATTGGGATAAAAATAAAGGGGGCTTTTTAATTAAAGAACGAGGCGCTAACTTATTGGGGGTCGTATATACTTTAATTGATTCAAAAACCTTGTGTTATGTTCTCACTCTTCCGTTGGGCTGGGCACCAACAATCCTTCAATTTAGCCAGCGTGGCCGGCTCTTCAATTTTTCTTTCTCAACCCGGCTTTCGCAATAGCTTATTTTCCCTCAGGTTAGGCTTAAATATAGAATTTTGGATGTTAATTTTAGGGTTAGCATTAGACATCCTAGGCATATTTTTCAGGTAGTTACATCCCTACCAACGAAAGCTTGTTAGGGTTACTACAGGGACCGCGGAACAGCGGGGGGCATGCCCCCCCCCACTTTTTCGGTGGATAAAAAATTACCGGATAAATCCAGCCTGCCTGCTTGGAATGGGCCATTCCGTTTATTAAGCGCACCCCCTCTATTGAGGGTTTTCAAAAAATACCCCCTGGATATTGCTTTAATAATAGGGTATGTGGATTTTAACATTTCCCGTGGATTTTCTAAACCTTTGTTAACCTATTGAGGGTAACATAATTTCTCCCCCTGGATTTTTGGATTTTGTTCAATGGATATTTTGCATTTGTTCTTTGAAATAGAATTAATACATCCCCCCCCCCGTCGACAACTTTTTAGGTAAAAAAATTTTCGGGACGAGTACGTTGCAATTGCTTTCCAGGTACTTTATCTCAATTTTTCATACCAAATTTCAGTACTTAGCCCAAAAAAAACAAATAACATTAATGCTGCAATTTAGTACCATGGATTAACTATTACTGTATCAATAATTGTTTACTGCCATGGATTTTTTAACATTTCATATTTTTACTACCATGGATTTATTTTGTTTAAATTTTTTCCATTTGGATTTTTTTATATTTACCCATGGATATATCTTGAAAAATTTCTTTCTCCTAAATCCTAATGGATTTTTGTTCTTTGGACCCCCTGGATATCCACAAACCTCAATAGGGGGTGCGCATACTAAATGGAATGGCCCAATATCTCACGTGCTATCCTGCCCCCCCCCCCCACTTTTAAACAGGCTCCGCGGTTCCTGAATTTACTAGGTGGTGTAGCGTTCGAATATCACCTACTCGAACCATATGCAACTTCGTAGCTCAGCAGAGTTTGTTGAGCGTTGGGCACCGCGTTCAACTTGCTACGGTCAACTGGGTCAAGCAATTTTCAGCGCTTTGCGCTTCGGTCGATGCATTAATTGAAGGTAGGACAATATGGGATCTTACATAAAGTATTTAGCAGTTACATGTTTCGAAATACATGTGATCAATATTTTGTTCAAACGTTCAATATTTTTTCACTTTGCTTTTATCATGACCTGCTCATCGTTGATATCAAGTCGAATTTGGAATACAACAATCAGTAAGTATTAAATTTATACTAGAACAAAACAAGAAAATGTTATTTAATAAACATATCAGCTAAAATTCAGATGGCTACCAATGTGACCAGATGTGGTATAAATTTCATTACTACCGTGGTAATTTTTCGTCATTTTTGGAGGATTGTGGTAATTGGAAATTTGTAGTAATTATGCACCTATCAATATTAATCTCGGGGGGTAAGGGTGCGGGCAATGGGTGGGGATTTGACAGAAAATTTAAAAATTTTAAATGGAATGGCCCTTAGAATGCCCCCCGCTGGTGGGGCATTCTATAAAGATAATCAAATGTTTCAAAACAGATGCACCCAGGGGATAGATCAAGGCAAAACATTTTAACATTTAATATAAAGGGCCACAAAAGGTGTCTGGGCATCGTAAATGTTATCCCCAGAATCCAGACTATGTACTGTATTCAAATTCCAAAAGGACAGAAGCAGATGTGGAAAAAAAAGTTTCCGGAACTTCCAGTTTTCTCGATTCTAGGGTCCAGGCTTTGTACTGAAATCGCATGTTGAATTATGGATTGAATGACAAGTCGCCTGCACCCGGGCAAAATTTTTTTGTCAAATGTCTGCCTGTGGGGATAGAATTCACGATCAAATCTCCACCCATTGCCCGAACCCTTACCCCCCCCCCCCCGGGATTAATATTGATAGGTGCATTACTATGGTAATGTCAGAACTACCGTGGTAATTTTTCGTCAATTTTGGTCGATTGTGGTAATTTGAAATTTCCAGACCTTAATCACAGAATAAGAAGTTACAGCAGAAGCGTAACTCAAGCAAGTATTTGTCCGTGTTTTTACAAGCGATTCGTCATCAATCAGGCATTTTGTGCCTACCAAAACCTTATAAAAACTTCCGGTTGTACTAGCCAGGATGCATGACGTGGATTGGCGTGAGATAGTTAAAATTTTCATGGATGTAAAACAATAAGGGAAACGACTAGAGTTACGCTTCTGCTGTAACTTCTTATTCTGTGCCTTAATGCACCTATCAATATTCCACCTGTGGGGGGGGGGGGTCGGGCATATGTGGGGTATTTGATCATCAATTGCATCCCCACCCTGAGGATTTTGATTAGCATTTTGGCAATTTGAACCGAATGACTTTTGAATTTGAGTTGGGGCAATTTGAACCGAATGACTTTTATTAATATAGTATTTATTACAATTTATTGCAAAATGGTGGGGCTTTGACCAATATTTATTGGCCGACGATGGGGCATTTGATTGAAAATTTGCTCAAAAAATCAAATGCCCCACCCATGCTTGACACACCCCCCCCCCTGCCCCTGTGGGGCTTAACATTGATAGGTGCACAATTGTACAGATTTTGGTGGAAAAAACCCTAAATTTGGTTTTGGCCATGTTATACTTGTTATTTGTCTGGAAAATTTTTTTGAACCCTAATTTAAGAAGTGGATCTCTATCCTTCATAGTCATTCGGGAATAACAATTTGAAAACCTGTTGAGTGCATTTTTTGGAAGTTACTCGATGGGATATTTTACTAGCCCCCTTATTAATAAAACACCAAACTTTTGCCACTGTTTTGAAAATCCCATAAAATTCCCCGATTTCCCCCTGGGAAAATTGAAGCTTCCTCCATTGAATATTCAGAGCCCCCATTTTGAGGAGGTGCATGGGGGTGAGATGCTTTTCAAGCTTGTCTGGTGTGGATATACACTCAGAGTAACATGATCACAAACATACAGTATTCACCTGGAGTGAGTACATGACACCACAGAAAAAAAATCGAGATGAAAATAATCTCTTGTTGTTGTGGTTGTTCGAATTGGAAAAATATCGATATCGAACCAAATTGGCAAATATCGAGGAAATATCGTATATAATGAAAAAGCTGGTATCACCCATCCCTAGTAGTGAGTCTTGTAGTGCACAAACATCATGGGCAACTGTAGTGTTTCAATTCTGTTTCAGACCCATATAATAATTATATGATTCTGACACTGCAGAAAACAACAGAAAATTTGTTGTCTCAAGCCATAGCCTATCGAAGGGGAGATGGCTGTGAAACTCGATCATTAGAATAACAATATAACTCATTATCTATGTTAGTCAACGTTTATTCATAAATCTGGTCCTTATTCGTCATGTGTGTATTGTATTTTTACGAAATCCACCAATAGCAATTTCCAGTTTCTCTATTGTTCGAGTTACGGATAGGTGACTTTCTTAAAACATTGCAATTGGTTAGTTGGGTAAAAATACAATACACACGTGACGGTGAAGGACCAGATTTATGAATAAACGTTGACCAACATAGATAATGAGTTTTATTATATACACAAGGTCTGGATATGAGGTATTCTGCAATCTGATTGGTTCTCTACTAGCAGGATATTAGCTCATATCCTGCTAGTAGAGAAAAACAAAATGGCGGCCAAACTGAATTTACGATGTTTTGCAAACGAGAAAACGGCAAGTTGTCGCTTTTTATAACCTTTACAGGATTAAAAACACAACGAAAAACTCCCACAATTTGTTTTCAGGTTAGCAAATAAATTTTTAAAATTTAAAATGGTTAAAAATATATATTTTTGAAAAAATAATCAGCCGAAAGAGCGAAGATAAATACATAAACAAAATAGAAAAATATTGAAAATATCTGAAAAGCAAAGTCTGTGAATTCAGACCTTGTGTATATAATAAAACAGTTATTCCACTCACTTTCGTCGAATATGAGCGATAGCCGATTAAAAAAAGGAGCGGGTAATTTCCCAGGTGCGCGTCGGCACTCAAATCACTTGAGCCTGTTTGCTTTCTCTTGGACGACGCTCGAGATTTACTGTGAAGGCATTTATAATCGTTCAAATCATTCATCATTCCTAACCTCTTTATTTGAAAGATCAGTTCTTTGTATTCTAAAGGTATGTCCCATGTTTTTATTCAACTATTTCAACAATTGCCAACAGAATCATTTTAATCATTTGCCATTATGATGGCCGCCATGTACGTAAAGCATGTACGTACGCCTCCGAAAAGATATCTGAGCACTAGCCTAAATAGCTGTATTTCAACAAGGAGAAAAGCTAAAAACGTTCAACAATACTTAAAATTTAATACAAAACGTGTTTCCAGAACGTAGAGCAGTTTTAAAGTTGTTTTCTCGGGAGTCAAAGTGCGAAGTTTTTTTCGCCATGTTCAATCTTGTGTAATATTTTGAATAGGAAAATGTTACCCAGGAAGTTTTTGCTGTTAGTGGATGTAAAATACCATACAGGAAACCAATTTTGAATGTTAAAGTTGAAACCTTTTGATAAAAAAGTACTTTTTCTTGCTAATTTTCGCTCGAAAACAAACTTTTGACTGAATTTCCTGCTCCTCGAAACTCTTTCTAGTCCTTTTGAAAGTTATTTATCCCGCGCCCCTCCTGAGCTTGGCTTCAAATTTGGCTTTAACCAATCGTAGGACTTGATCTCTGGAGTTATCGTTCCAGTTTTGTTATAGCTCACTGGTTTAGACTAGTTATAGGTTAACAAAAATACTTTTAAAACATAAAAACCGGATGACTAAAAACTTGAAATTCGGATAAATTAATAGTAAAAATGGTTTATAGTTTCCTTTGCTCTATAGAGTTAGTGATGCATAAACCCCGAGACAGACTGTAGGTTTTTGAGTAGCACTTGTGTTATAATAATTTTTGTCCATTTGGTGACCCAAAAACGTTGCGCTAGTGCATGTGTACGTATTTTCAGCACGTCATAGTAATGTTGTTTACACTTTCATAAATAAATGTCTTTTTTTACTTTAAAATTCCCCACTGGCGCTTAGCACCTGGCAAATTACCCTCTCCTCTCCTAATAACCCGCTCCTTTTACCCGCTCCTTTTTAATTACCCGCTCCTTTTTTAATTACCCGCTCCTTTTTAATTACCCGCTCCTTTTTTAATTACCCGCTCCTTTTTTAATTACCCGCTCCTTTTTTAATTACCCGCTCCCTTTACCCGCGACCCGCTACCCGCTCCAAATAGCTCCAAATAGATCCAAGGAGAGAGTGCATGCTAGCGCTCAGTGGGTTAAAAATATATTGCTTTTAATCTTGAGATTAGAAATGTATTGTCACACTTTAACTGTATTCATCAATAAATCATGTTGCTTGTCATTGGCTTTTTTCCATTAATATTGCCCAAGAATAAAAACATCATTATTTCAGCTCAGCTAATTAATGTGAAGGTAGCATTGATGGTAGCAAAATGTGGAGGTAGCGGCATTGATGGTCAGGTAGCACCCTAACTTACCTTCAGGGCTATAGATATGTTGACATGCAGTTTGCTACAAGCAGATTATATTGAAAACTTAAATTTGCCAATCTATAGCTGGTTTCATTTCAGGTTGCCAAAATTTTGCTTAGTAATATGTGTCTGATTTTCATTAATTCTGAGGCCTTCAGTTTAGATGTAAAGGACAGCTCTTAATTTTATAGCTGCAGTGTACGTACATGTAGGGTGTAATACTATAGCTAGTCTAGTTATTTTTATAGTAGAAATTACTTTGCGTTTATATGCAGTTCAAGACTGGTGGACCATTGGCTGAGATCTGAATTGAAAGAGGCAACATTTCACAACCTGAACATGAAATCTGAACATGAAACATAAAGGATCACTCACCAGGTTGGCCTGGTTGTCAGCTTATTAAGTATGGTACAGAAAGATGCCACCATGATTCTCCAAGTATTAATAAAATATTTAAGTATTAGATTTAGACTGGGTCTATAGTGTATTAAGACTAATTGTCTATATCTTCTTGTAGGGAAACAAGTGTTCAATCATTATAAACGACGATGTTTCTCAATGAAAGTGGATGCAAAACAGTTGGCTAACCTTCGAAAACAAACTGGCTACGGTTTATCACTATGCCGAGAGGCCTTGCTAGAGAATAACAATGATATCAAGGTTGCCCAAGCATGGCTTGATGAACAAGCGATCAAGAAAGGTTGGCAAAAGGCTGAGAAATTACAAGGGAGAAAAACGGGCGAAGGTGTGATTGGAGTTATGGTAGAAAACAATCATGCTGCCATGGTTGAGGTATATGTATGACGTTGCATGACAGAGTCCATGGACACTATAGCCAGCTAGAACAAAATAATAATATTTGTGCATGCATGGATCTGCTGACGTTTTCGGATTTGCGTATACAAAAACATACTGTACAATGGATGACTGCAGCTATCAACTAATTTTGTTATTTAGGCAAGGACGAAATCTACAGTATGTCATTATAGCTTAAACGAGCATCCTAAAATTAGTAAAATTGCAAAATTTGGTTGCGAAATGTTGTAAAGTACAAAAATATAGCCCTGTGAATTAGCTAATTTTGAGTATTTTGGTATTTACGCGCGGGAAAATGCATCACTTTTGAGCCGAAAGTGTGGTGCATTTTTCCGCGTAATCATAATTTAAATATCATATACCCTTATATATCCTACGCTGTTACTGCTTGGGGAAGTACCTATGGCTATAAGTCCAACCTAAAAAAGTTACAAACAAAGCAAAACTATAAGTTATGAGGATTATGTTCTTTGCAATAACACATGGACCTCTCACCAAGAGTGCTCTTCCATATTCAAACATGTTGGAAATTCTCAGTGTTGATACTCATCTTTGTCACAAAGGCCAATTGCCACGCATATTTGACAGTTTATTCCAGTATACTAGTGACGTACATGTACCTATAACACCAGATATTTATCTAAACAAAACTTACACAAAAAACGTGTCAGAACAAACTATGGCAAACAAATTACTTCGTTTGCCTTTATTGACCTCTGGAAAGATATTCCTAAACATCTTAAAGACCTAAATGTTTTTTGTTTTTCAAAATTAGTAAAAAATGTTTGTTAAAAAAACAATTTGAGACAAATTAAAACCATATTAACAAAAATTGTATATGCATGCACTTTAACTTCATTTTATTTGGCTCTGCTAAACAAATGATCTTTCATCTCTAATTAAATTTTAAAATTAATAGGCTGGTAACGGTTAATTTAGTTACCAGGCGCAATATTTATTAAACAGTGTGTGAACTATTCATATTTATGATGTTTGTGTTGTTACTTTGAGTGTATATCCACACCGGGCAAGCTTGTAAAATATGCCCTGCGACGCTGGGAATCGTACCTACGACCTTTGGAATACCAGGTCGTAGGTTCGATTCCCACCATGGCCAGGCATATTTTATAAGCTTGCCCGGTGTGGATATTTAACAATTAGTCGCCGAAGGCGAGGTGATTACAAGCCTATATTCACTGAGCCGAAGGCGAAGTGAATATAGGCTTGTAATCACCGAGCCTGAGGCGACTAATTGTTTTAGTATAAATTTCCAGGTGTTTACAAACAATAATCCACACAACTTTATAAAAATTCACTACAAATAAATTTATTTTCACTATAAATAGTTTGTTTACAAAATTTAAATCTCAGACACGGCTCTGTGTCGCGTTGCGACTAAGCCAGTTTTTTTCCAAATAAAAGCACGTAAAGTTTAATATTTTACCTTGAAATATTTTTAAACCATATTTTGTAGCTTGTTTGGTTTTTTTCGGAATGCTATCTTCTTTAATTTTGGCAATTTCCTCCTCTGTTACTACGGCAAAACGAGCAGCCATTTTGAAAAAAAAGCTATAGTCACTGACCAGTGACTATCACTTCAGAGACAGTGAATCTTGACCAATCAGAATGCAGAAAAATCAATAGTCACCTGGAAATTTATACTAAACACTCATAGTAACAACACAAACATCATATTCACCTGAGTACATAACACCAACACAGAAAAAAATTATTCATATTTATTATTCCTATTTATTATTCAAGAATTAATTGTTGTTTGTAATTTTCAAAAAAGGGCAAAATTATGTATATATTATATTTTTATTATTTTGCATTTCTGGCTGCATATACACCTGTTTTTCCAGTCCTCGCAAGAAGCTCCTCGCTGCGAGTGCATGCATGAGCACTTTCATGAAAGGACTGGAAAACCGCCTTAACACAATTTTTCAGCAAAACTCGAATTTAACCAACAAAACGACTTTTTTCATAATTTTAAACAAAACATAGATGAGCTTTTTCATTCATCCAAACTTTAATTTTTTTAGAATGATTACTATTGCAAGTTTATCACACCAAGCACAACCATTGTATATAAGGAAATGGGATATTGATATTAAGAAAGCTGCGGATTGATATAGGGATTCCTATCAATTCGGCAACTTTCGTATTACTAGCACTACACACTCTAGCACAGACCGTTCGGGATATTGGTACTGCTGTTATTGCGGTCGAAAACATATTCAACACGCATGTACGCGTTTTAAAAGTACTAGACTAAATGTGCCAATCATCTTGGTTAGGATTGTAGGTGTAGTTTGAAGTATATACAATTTAATGAGTCAATTGTTTATTTTGTTGTGCTATTGTAGATATGCTGTGAAACTGATTTCGTGGCGCAGAATGACTTCTTTAAGGACCTGGTTGCCAAGTCAACCGCTACAGCACTTTCCCATCGCAAAATGATCGTCCAGAGAGGACTGGACTTAGGAGGAACATTCACACATTTTCGTGAAGTTCTACTTACTCATAAACTAAATGAAATGAAATTGTCCAACTCTGACGAAACTGTTAATGATCTTGTTTTACAAGTTGTAGGCCGGTTAGGAGAGAGAATTATGTTAAAACGTGCTGTTACTATGACAACCGAGCAAGATTGCGTAATCGGACGATACACTCACGGGCCGTTTACTTCTAATATTGATGGATGTCAAATGGGAAAGTATGCAGCAATAGTTGCCATACAACAACCTACTACCTCTAATATTGGGAATGAAATATTGGCTACATTAGCGACCTCTTTAAGTCAACATATTGTAGGAATGAACCCAAGTTGTATTTCAAGCAAAGATACCGCAGGTGAAAATATTGATAAAGGCGAAATGTTGGAGGAACAGTACTATCTTATGGACGAGACCATCACTGTGAAGGAATTACTTGATAGGAATAACGTTTCTGTTGTTGATTTCTTACGCATGGAATGCGGGGAACAGTAGCATATGAACCCTGATAAAATATTTCTATATGTATTGTTTAACCATAATAAAACAAATGTCCAGCGATAACAGATTGATAGCAGTCTTTTGTATTGATTAATTGTAGTAGTATAGCTGCCTAGTTACCATTAAATCGCAAGAGTCACGCAATTGCATAGCATAATACTAAAGTACGTTAGAGGGTCCTACTCCCCCGGAAAAAAATTTGAAATCCCAGATTTGGTACAATTGTGCATTCTGGAGACTAGTTGACAGTTATGTTCATATAATTCCGAACGCCGCCTTATTTTAAATAAGATTAATAACTAACTTGCATCGTGCTTGCCTGCTGTAGTACGCGTGATTCACCCTGATGATGAAACGTGATACCACCCGACTAAACGCCGCTGAAGCATCTCGAAGTATGGGGGTTGGATCTGCCCAATACCTCGGGTCGAAATTCGAAAATATCCTGCAATATTTCTTGTGGTCTGAGGCAATTTTTACCTAATCTAAAAGTTAAAAGTACATGGTACTTTGATCTTTGCCTATCTGAATAGAATAATATCGCTGGAAATGTGAGACACCTTCAATCCAGCCTGGGCGGGACACTTTCAATCCAAAAGATCAACTTTTTCATTTTGAAAAAAAATGCCATTCATGATTTCACTCCTTATTCTCGTTTAGTGATACTGAATAGTAGTTCGCTAGCCAGAAACACCCTCTAATAGTATCTAATTACAAGATGCCTTAGTACTACTCGACTGACTCAGTATACCATGTGAAAAAGTGCTACCATGCAAAAATAATTTGCACGACTAACCATAGATGGATTTTGTGGGGGGGGGGGTGCAGGGGGTGCTACCCCCCCCCCCAATATTAGCTATAACCCCCACACACACACACACACACACACACACACACACACAAACAAAATGTCCACCCCTCCAAAAATATTTCAACCCACCCACCCCCAATATTCGGCATAATGAAAAATATTAAATAGTCCACTCGAACGTGCAGAGTGTTGATGATACAAAATAAACGTAGGAGTACACTCGAACAGAAAAAGACAGTGCAACACACTGAAACTAATCGCTCCTCGCTTGCATTCACTGGTTTATTGGAGCAATTGTAAAATTTTGAAACTCTATTATCTCCCCTGTATAGAGTTTGCAGTGCCTTGTCATGCAAATAGCTTCCTTGTAAGGAACGTTTGGAATTTTTACGAACATTATTTTTAGTTTTTAATTCTTTTAGGAAATAGACTTGCCTAGATTTAATCTTTACGCCCCGAATATTATTTACATCGGAAGTTGCATCATCAATTGTACTCGGATTCAAACGACACAATGTCGAGGACTTTATAAAAGTGAAAGCATAATTGTGTATTGGCCTATTGGGTTTACACTTTTACAGGTTCATTTAACTTTACTGTAACTCTCTCAAGTCTCAACAGACAATCGGACATGCCAAATCCATTGATATGACAACTTCAAAAAACTTTTTCGAAGCTAGAAATCATGATTTTTTTCCAAATTTTTCCAGGGATACTTTGTTTTCTGCTCTCTCGACTCCCCCTCGCGGCTCTAGTGCTCCACCCCTATAATATAGACCTTACTGGGGTTTGGTGACACTTTGTGTTGCTTCAGTCACCTGCTCACGGCTCACTCCCCTAAAATTTCTGGCACCACCCCAGTAAAAATATGAAAATCCGTCTATGCGACTAACGCCAGTTTCCTCCTAGTAACTCTCCAGTAAGCCCCAGCAATCAGTACAAGTGATGTTATCAATTATATTCATAGAGATAGACGGTTGTCTATAAATATAATCACAGTTTATATTCTTAGTCTATAAACTGTGATATAATAGGTCGTTTTAGGGAAGCTTTTGTGCCATCATTTAGCCTGAATTTCAGACGGCCACTCGTTGACGTGTCCATCTGAAATTCAGGCTAACCCTCATTTCGATTTTCATGAATTCGTTTTTTTCAGCATTAATATGGCAATGCTTATCACCATATGGCATTTGGAATACTAAAATGAAGCACTGTTTAGGCTTCCTTCCACGGAGTTCCACCGACCATTTGTATTAGGTGTTTTCGTTTTGCGAAAATTATTCGACATTAAAGGCCTGATTCCACGAGGCGGAATTTTCCGACCGAAATGAAATTTCTCTTTGTCTTTTTACAATTAGTTCTGCTCGAGAGCTCATGAAACATTCGATTCGGTCGAAAAATTTCGCCTAGTGGAAAACCGCCTTAATAGTCGACTTTTTTGTGTCTATGAATTTCAATATTTTACATGTAGTCGTAGATTATAAAGTTTATGAAAATATAACACACAGAACTGTTACTAAACATACTTTTATTGTTATATAAATAATTCTGACTTCAACAAGTTGTAACTATATTTTTCGAGAATTACACCATAGCCTACGTTTCCACTGGAGAAAAAGTTTTTCGAATTATTGGCGGTGTTACGTAAGATTAAAAAATTCATTAATAATTCACGAGGAAAATACAAAAGAAATGAATGTTTAATCAATGTTTGTAAATCGGTTAAAGATTTGTCCTGATTTACATAAATTCAGCTTTGATTTTCTCGGCTTAGAGAATGTTTATTTTTAAAATTACTTCGCCAATGAACTTATAAGACGGGTCATTTTTTAAGTACGATAAAACATTCGCATCCGATCTGTATCTGATATACAAACTCTCGCCTTCGGCTCGAGTTTGTATATCAGATACAGATCGGCTGCTCATGTTTTATCTATAGTACTTATATAGAAATCAAAGCGATCGTAAATCCAAAAAAATTAACCAGTTCAAAAACGTTTCAACTCCAGTGTAAAAATACACTATTCACTAATCTTAAAATATATGCCCGTGCCATATTGAAGTGATCTAAGACGTGTCCACACACCGTAAGGAACAAGATGGTGACAAAACGCCCTTCTTTTATGCATGTTCGCCAGTCGATCGATAATAAAATCTCATTTATAAATATTCAAACTAAACGAAAACTTAGGAAAGTGGGATATGGATTATAGTGGGAAACTCTTCTTTAATTTACTTTCCTGACCAAAGGCGCGGCTTTGCCTCAAATTTCACGGTTTATACCCACTGCATATCCCCTTTTTCGTTATTATTGACTCGCGATTGAATAAACAAGGTCACTTCAATACGGCTTCGGGATGCCAAGTCGCATTTTAATGAATAATGAGCTCGTTAAAACTTGGATACGCCGTAAAAATTATTGTTAATGTAATAATGAAGAAGGTTTATAGTGTGTAGACGTTTTTCAGAACGTCACCAAGGAGTAAGTTTGCTTTCGTGACAGCATGAAATGAGCTTCGTATTCTTTAACCGTTTTATATAACCAAATTAGTAATATATTTTGAGTTAAAATGTCCTCATAAAAGTTGGCGTTTTTAATGTGATTGCAAGCAAATTCGCATTCCGAACACGCCAACACACAATACACGTGGCAAACTGTACGACATCCAACACTTCGACTATATGTAACAACAAATTTAAATATATTTAAGGTCTATGTTCGAAGACTATATATATATATATACCCATCTGAACTTTAAAATTCAATTTCTTCAATAGACTGCACTGGAACTCAATGAGATTGCACAGGGGCGCCGGAAGCAATGTGATGCGGCGGGGGCAGCCATTTCAAAAGGGCACTTGCTTCTCAGCCATAATTTTTTCTGGGCGGCAATATTTGTTAAACCTTTACTGTATGATCCACTCGATCACTTGTGGCTATTATGGGTCGGCAAATTTCGCCATTAATTTTGAACAATTTTATTCGTTGCACATTGCTAAGGGCGCAAAATAAAATCAGCAAACGGACGTATATTGCTTGATTTAGCATTAATTTTGCTACAACTGGTTAAAAATTAAGCAAAGATTGCTTAAGCGTTGCTTAAAAATACTTATAAATTCCAATTCTTGTGAATAACGCACGAATTTCGAAGTGCAGTTCCGGTAAAAAGGGCAACCTGTTGCCCCCGTGCTGCCCCCGCACTATTTGGGCAAGGGGAGCAGTTGCCCCCGCTGCCCCCGTGGCTCCGGCGCCCCTGATTGTAATGTCATGTTATTATATACAAAATTTGCCTTTATTCGATATTCAGTAATTCTCTCGAACCCGTCTTTCGTAGTTGAACTTGGGCAAATTCTGGCGGCGGTGGTAGTTCATCTACTTCTTTATCCTAAACAGCATGAATACATAATTATGATGTACACTACAGAATCAAAGCCTTCTCCTCTTGGGTCACGTGTAATGGTGTTATTTTAGTTTTCAAATCTTCAGTTAAAGATAAGTGAATAAAGCCCTTATGTTTGTGTCATTTTTGAAATTTGTCATGAGCAACGGGGTTTACTTAAGAGCCCGGTTATGAGTATTCTATTTGCACTCCAGGGCACCGCTGTCCGTTGTCCGTGCCCGCATAATAGTCTCTCAAATAAAATATATAGGTGAGCATTTTGTTGGGTCAGTTTTAACATATAGGAAACTGTCCGTATTAGAGAGTACTATCTGCAGAGGACTGGAAGGACGGTATAGCCCGCACTCATTTGTCATAAGTCACGAATAAGGTAATTTTAAGTGAAAATCTCATTTGTCACGAATAAGGTAATTTTAAGTGAAAATCTCATTTGTCACGAATAAGGTAATTTTAAGTGAAAATCACCCAATTAATATGTATACTATAATAATTATTTGAAATGGTGCATGCCTGCATGTCGTCTTGCGACTAATCCAGGTTCATCTGAATTAACAGCTGAAAGCTGCATGCATGCTCTTTTAGGGTCACATGATATCATAGTATAAACTTTCAATATTAATAGTTTAATTAATTAAACATAGTATATAGTATTATATATACATATAAGTTGCATGGTAAAGGATCAAGTGCATCTAACAGTTTTGAATTAGCTCAAACGACCAAAGTGCGCGCGACTAGTTGAACGCGATTGATGCAACGAAGCAGTGACTGGCCAGAGGGGGGGGGGGGACTGATAAAATTGAGGGGAACGATGGAAAAATTCTGATCAGTGTGGGTTAATTATTCGTAATAATTTTGGATTTTACCTCGTCTACTTTTCGTGATCTTTCTTTTAGCTTGTTCGCTAACTCTTGGTCCATTTTATTCGTGTCGTCTTCGGCATGTGCCTTTTTCTGTTGAATGTTTGTCCATACCTTACCAAATTCGTTATTTTTTAGCTCAATCCCTCTGAAAGACGAAAAACAAAAATAAAAATAAACTTGTCGAAAGGAGAAGCACATGATCAACAAGTTATTGCTGAAAAATTTCCTATCCACGAAAATCTTTACAAGATTTCCCCCCCCCAGATATTTTAAATTTAGAAGATATAGAACACAACCCCCCCCCCCCCATCCGCTCCTGAAAGAAAGAAAAAAATAAAAAACTTGTTGCATGCATACTCTTGACTTAATTTGTTATGCACGGTCACGATTAGACAACAATTTGTGTTGCTTTTTTACTCGTTATATCAACTACATGCATCTATCAACTTATGGGGGGGGGGGGGGCATTTTGTCATGGGCTCCCAACTCAAAAGGGCTCCCAACTCAAAAGGGCCCCCAATGAAACGAAGGGCCTTAAAATTACTTAATACAAGATTGGGAAGTTTTGTCCCGCGCAAATGGCGGCCCTGCTCTTGGCTACTGGAATGCATGTATGTAAGTTTGCATTCATTCCATCCACAAATAACCCATCTACTATTCTACCAAACAAGATGCCCCAAAATATCGATATTTACTGGACAGTGGACACTGGAGCGCTAGAGCACCACACCGCGAGTATCACAGGGCCGTAGGTTTGATTCGAGGGCCTATAGGCTATAGAAAGTCGGTTGCATTTTTGCAACTGTTCCATTTCTTCAAGCCATAGTAGCTACATACTTTTTATGAGCAAATTTTATATCGTGAGTAAGCCTTTTCATATTCGGATCGTCTGGATAAGGCATCTTGATCATATGCGGTTCCATTGGTTCTGTTTCACAAAAGTCTTCTGCTGGGTAGTCAGGATGGTTGCGAGCTAATGCAAACGATAAAGAAGATTGTTATAGTAATTGTTATTGTGAGCAAGGCAGCTACATTGATCTACATATAGAGTACAACTTTTTTCGGTTCTCCATGTACGTTATGTTTAAGAATTTTCCACTACGTCTACAACGGGTTTTATGTGATTCAAACTTGATGTATATACCAGGTGGTCCTGCAAATCCTTGCGGGTCTTCTGATAATTTCTGTGCCGTCAGCGAGCAAAGACCATCCTTTTTTATAGAAGTATCTGTAGCCATCATTGTCTTTTAAATAAACGAGAAAATAATGTAAATAACAAAATTTGAAATAGAAATTGTTGTAAATATGCGGAACACATCAGCTGATCAGCTATGCACTCAATCTATATATCATAGAAAACAAATCCCTTCTCGAAATTTCGAGCGGACGCCCTTTGACTTTGTCAAATTAGTCACGAAAGTTAGAAATGATTTCCTTATAGAATATAGGTTGAGTGACACTCTTCAAACTACTTTTATTTCTACACCGAGACCGATCATTCATCAGTCTCATGGTTAAACAAAATTGGCAATGTTTTGCATCGAATTACGCACGCAAGAACACTATTAACTAAAGAGTAAAGAGAATATTTGCACACCAAAGATGGATGTATTCTACTCAAAAGTGATGATGGAACTTGAGATGTATATTTCAACATTTAATAGATTCTTCTAATTGTTCGCACGTCCACTCATATAAGGATTTGTTTTAAAAACGCAACGTTTTATTTACCAGTTCGTCTTTCGTCCACGCGTGTTAGGCGAATACGCACACGGAAAACATCCTGAGAACAGTCTCGAGAGTGCAAACGTTCGTTTCAGGAAATTAACGCCGGATTAGATACTTGTGTGGACGCATGAAAACGGTGTTTTTTACAACGATGATACAACATGGATCATTCGCCTACAAACATCAGTGTTTTAATTTGTAAATAAAGAAATGCAGACCAGTCTACCTCTAGTATGTTATAATTATACTAAATATTTGGTTCAACATTGCGAGGATATACATTTTTAAACTGATTGTTAAGCCCCGTTCAAACGAGTCCAACATATTTTAAACAAAGTCAAACCCAGTCCAACATCAGTCAACATTACCCAACACATAGTGGGTCAGCACTTATTTCCATCTACCAAACTGATGTGACGTCATTTTCGGAAGATGGAAGAGGTGTTAAATGGCTATGTAACAAATCCTACCCCTACTCTAACCATAATCGCAACCCTAACCCTAGGCCTAACCAAATTAATTAAAAGTCCAAAAAGAAACAACTTTAGAAATTGATGAAATGACGTAACGTCAGTTTGGTAGATGGAAACAAGTGAAAACCCACATAGTGTTCAAACGAGGTATCAACTATTTCGCTGACCTCAGAATGACATTTCGTCAAAACTTTTTTCTTCAAGATTGGTTTAGAAACAAATTTGGCATAGGGTTAGGTTAGGGTTAGAGTTGGTGTTTGGAGTAGGGTTAGTGCCGTTGCTTTGTTACGTTTTGTCACTTTGAGGTCAGCGAAATAATCTCTTCCTTCAAACGAAGCCAACATATTTTAAACAAAGTCAAACCCAGTCCACCATCAGCCAACACATAGTGTTCAAACGAAGCCAACATATTTCAAACAAAGTCAAATCTGATCCACCATCAGTCAACATTACCCAACACATAGTGTTCAAACGAAGCCAACATATTTCAAACAAAGTCAAACCTGATCCAACATCAGTCAACATTACTCAACACATAGTGTTCAAACGAGTCCAACATATTTCAAACAAAGTCAAACCCAGTCCTCCATCAGCCAACATATTACACATACTGTTCATTATTTATACCTTAATAGGGTGGGGTGGGAGATTCTTATATCATCGAGCAAAATCTCATGGGGGGCCCCTTTTATGGTGCTCTTAACCATAGACCCCCTAAATACTTAAAAGTATATGCTGTTGTGGTGACCCTGCCCTAGTTGGCAAAGCTAAATAAACTTTCATATATGACAAAACTTTTCCATTCAGCAGACATTTTTAATTTACAAACAGGACTGCAACAAAGCAAAGACACCCCCTGTCTCATAGAGCAAGGTGAACATTTCATGACGCATCCCACCTCATCTAGGGTATAAATAATGTCACTAAGTTTATTTTGTCATAACAGCCGGATTTATAATTATATCTGACTGAGAATGTGATCTGTTAAGATGCATCATCCTAAAGATAAGATAATTAAACTACTTCGAAACTCTATGTGTTGCTGAATCTAATTTTTAGGTGATAAATTTATTTTTTAGGTTATAATTGGAATATCATTGCAGGGACAATAATTGTGTTAGTGGTAGACAATCGGAATCGGTTAACCCATTAAGTGCCAGCGGTCTCCCCTCAACGAGTAAAATCGTCCGGCGTTAGACAGAGTAAAATAATAAAGTAAGGCGCATGTACATCAGAGTGCAATACAATTCAATTGGTTAACTAGACACATAGGCAGATAGGCTAGTTAACCAATTAAGCACCAGCGCTCTCCTCTTGACAAGTAAAATCGTCTGGCGTTAGACAGAGTAAATTAATAAAGTGGGGCGCATCAGGGTGCAATGCGACTCAATGGGTTAAAGTTCCTTGTGCTATTTTATGCAGAACTACTCATATGAGTCACATTTTAGGGGGAGTTACTATTTTTAGACTTTTAGGGTTAGGATTAGGGAAAGGGTTAGGATTAGAATAAGGGTTAGGTATCAGAGCACATCTCCACTTAAAGGGTTCACAAGACACTGATTAACCCAGTGATTGGCAGCACTCTACAATAGATAAGTAAAATTGTCTGGTGTTAGACAGAGTAAAAAATAAAGTGGGCATATCTGGGTACATTGCCACTTAAAGTTTTCTATTCTAATTTACCCATAAAATGAATGATGCCATTCAACTGATTTTAAACAATTGGGTCCAAGTCAGGCAGGTATAAAAGTCAACTCTATTCTAACCCTGACCCTGACCCAAAGCAGACTAGCACTCAGGTACAACTTTTATACCTGCCACAGGGCTAGGAAAAGGGTGGGTCCAGTCCAACAAGCAATTCGGTCCTGTCTGACTTGGAACAATTGGTATAAATAAGTAATTTTCAATTGTGGCATGATCAGTCAATCACTATTGAGGACTGAAACTTGTTGCAATAAAAGGGTTGGAATATTTTGGCAACCTAAATTTGTTCATTTACCCATTGAGTCACATTGCACCCCACTTTATTATTTTACTCTGTCCAACGCCAGAAGATCTTATTCGTCAAGGGGAGAGCACCATGGGCGTACCGTAAGGAAAAAGGCTTTTCGGGATTGTGCCCCCCCCCCCGTCGCCAAAAAAATTTTGGTCACAAAAAAATTTCGGAACACTACACAAATTATCCAAAAAACACAAAATTGGCCACAAAATTGACTTAATTTTAGACAAAATTGACAGAATTTATCCCATTTTTTTTTATTGCAAACCAAAATTGCCCGACTGTTGATCGAATATTGCCCGACTGCCCAACAAACTGGGGCTACCCCCCCCCCCGCCCGCCTATGGAGAGCACTGGCGCTTAATAGGTTAACTGGTCTATCTGCCCATGTCACATTGTGCCCTGATGCACCCTACTTTATTATTTTACTCTGTCTAATGCCAGACGTTTTTACTCGTCAAGGGGAGAGTGCCGGCGCTTTAATAATGGGTTAATTACACATTTTACATATTGTACTTGCACAAATTTCATCTTGAAGGATGGCCCAATCTGGCTTGCTGCAAAATAATTTTGCTATGCAGCTGGATATCATATTTTATTTACATTCATAATTGTTACTGATTAGTTGTGGGTCTTATTAAAATTTGAGTTGCAAACATTCAAAGTTTTGTAGGTGTGTGGTTGTAAACATTTGCAGTATGACAATTCTGCAATCCACCTAGCTAGCTATCAACAAGTCAGTCTGCATGTGTATTGAAGACTAAATCCTTATTCTGCATTCTTTACAATAAAATTGGAATATGATAACCTTAATTTTTAACACAGAACCATTAGTATATGTTAATGTCGCCTGGTCCGATATCAACTGACGTGTAATATTTAGTTATTTATTATTTATGACACAAATTTAAACTATCACGAGACTTTCTTTAACTTCCTACTGTTCCTTTACAAATGACGCAATGAATAAATGTGTATTTCGCGGGATGAAATAATCGTGGTATTATAGAAACACCAATTCGCTCACTACCTCGCACGGCGCGATTTTTCTCTTATAATTTTAAATGGCCATCGTCTATCGCCCGAGGTGACATATAAATAGTCGCTTGTCACCCAGAGTCACTTGTCACTCCAACATTTTAACGAAATAATTTTTGTCCCTTGTGGCTTGGTGAGCTAAATCAACTACGTACACCAGCACTGATTGTCAGATTCTACAAAACATTTCGCAGACAAAAAAATCTGCCGACACCTAAAACTGCCATTATTTCATGTGCCTATTTCTTGATGTCGAATGGCAAAGAATTCGGAAAAATAAACAAATAAATTGCCTTCTCTCCTCTTCTCAAATTACCTAACAAACAAAACCATTGATGAAAAAGCAGTGAGAGTGAGACTACTATGAGAAAATCATGTTATTCATTTATAAACATCTTCGACTTCGAATTATATTCGCAAGCGCTTATAATTGATACATCATGTCAAATTGTCAAGTAGAATATATTGTGTACAGGCACTCGAGAAAAGACAGTCCTAATTCTACTGTATATTTTGATAACTTGAAAGCGAAATCTGGTCGACTTTTACATACTTTTCGATTCTTCATATACAAGCTTTTACTATAATAACCTACACATACATTCAAGCTGTGTATAAATATAATTGTACTTTGTTTCAAAATCGAACAATTGTAACAAACACAACGTTATTTTGAACTTACCGTAAATTGAAATTGCTCCGGTGAAATTCAATACGGCGCCAAACGTTTCTCACGCGAATTGGTGTAAAACTCTATACTGTTGCTATTATACTATACCCCTCTGGCCACTATACCCTAACTGTCGATTTAACGCACTCGAATAGAACGTGAGAAGAAAACCATAATAGGTTTTGTCCCAAATGAATAATCAAGAACAGACAACAACGCACGAATGACTCGATATTACCAGACATTTGCATAAAAACTCATGCAAAAGCCACCACCTGGCGTGAAAATAACTCAAGCGTGCTCGGCGATTCTTCATCTAATAAATTGTGCACAAATTTGAAATGCATTACATACTTCTGGTCGCGTAAGCTCGCGTTTTAACACGATTAGTCATTTTTGGCTTACCTCGCAAACTTATATGTTTATTATCCAAGACGAAGTGTAGATATATTTCGGTGTTAAAAAGTATTTGTGTAAACTTGTGATACTTGTCAAACATATACAGCATTCCATATCCCTGTTTGACACGAATGTTATTATTTCTACCCTAATCTTGAGCACATCTGTGTCGACACTGATAAAACACACCAGCAAAAGATAACACACGAAATCACAATGTACACAATCGCTGCTACCCAGAGGCTGCTATTCTGCCACCTTTGAAAACAGTCGGTTACCACTTTATACAAAACACTCGAGAATTCCTTGCCAAGAACTCTGAAATTCCTTAGTTTTCCAAAGACCTAACACTATAAACCGGTGGATAGTCAAACTTAGAGGCAGTCAAGGCATTTTTTAATACCATGAACTGGTGGGGCATTTGCCCCACTGGGCCCCTTCCTCTGCCCCACCACTGAGGAAAAGAAATGGCCTATTGCCCCAAAGCCAGAGCCCTAGGACCTGTATTGAGTAATTGAGTTTAAAGATGCGATCACAGGATGTTTACAGTCCGATCTGCGCATGTGCACAAAGGAACCCTCTTTTTATTTACAAACAGTTTATTTAGGTTTTTATTTCATTTTATGTTCTTGCAAAGCTTGATTGTTGTGTCTTGATAATTTATATTATACTCTAGAATCATGAAAATTTAAATAGTTGTCGAATAAAATTCATTATTTCGGATACCGAAATGTAAACAAAGCCTTTGTTTACATACGGACTGTACCGCATCTTTAACATTTGAAAGGAAATTTCACCATTAAAACTTTGTTTCGAGAAGCTGAGATTTTTTTAAAATGTGTTCTCAGAATGCAGGGAATGCTATTTCAGAGACCCAAATTTTATGAGCCTGGGGGGGGCATGCCCCCAGACTCCCTAGCTAACTCTGCTGTGCGGTACTCGGCTCACACCTTCGGCGATCGCATACTATCCTGGGGGGAGGGCAAGAAAAATGGGCCCTTAGGCAGTTTTGCCCTAGCCTGCTCACAGACGTTGTAGTTCTTACGGTAGTAGTCCACCGGTAGTATTTCGTCGCTTGGCGTAAGAGCTACAACGTCTGTGAGCAGGCTAGTTTTGCCCCACCACAAAAGAATCCTTAAAAAATGCACTGTACAGGGTGTCTAAAAAAAACTGAACCCTTTCAAATTCAAATTAGCTATAACGTCTTGTACATGTAGTAATTTGGCAGCTCTAATTGCCTTGAATTAATGGTTGGGTAAGAACACAAGGAATACTGTATTTCTTTTAAATTTTCTAATTTTTATTTGAGTTTTGTCCCATGAGTACAGGACCTAGTGTTCTTATCCAACCATTAATTTAAAGCAATTAGAGCTGTCAAATTACTACAATACGTTATAGCTAATTTGAATTTGAAAGGGTTCAGGTTTTTTTTATACACACTGTATTCCACTCAGGAAAATTATCAATGAACATTTTTCTTTGTGTTAAAGTCATTAATAACTCATTATAGTTCCAACCCAGAGCTCACAAGACAAAGAAAAATAGTTTCTTGTCCGTTCCAATCCACGGATAATTTCCTGAGTGGAAACTAGCCTTAACATTTTCGTATTTTCGTATTCATTGACTGTGAAAACAATCAATTTCTAAAGAAATGAACAATGATGATAATTTTGAATTTGCATAGCGGGACTAAATTGTCGGTCTGGCTACGCCACTGCCTATAATTACCGTATACACACGCAAAAATCTCACATCTTGTAACCCTGAAGTTTGTCAACAAGCCGTAACAAGTTGTGTTCGCACTGCTTGTCACGAATTGTCAACAAGTTTGGAACAAGCTAGTTTGTTAACAATTTGTAACAACCTTGTTGATATTATCAGGCTTGTTACTGACAAGGTTGTTCCAACAAGTCCGATACAAGTTATGATATAGCAGTATTGTTACAACCTTCTGTCGTCACCCTTGCAACACTCTTGTTTGTCATGACTGTATCAGACTTGTTAGAACAACCTTGTCATCAAGCTTTTTACAAGTTGTTAACAGCTTGTTCCAAACTTGTTACAACAACTGGGAACAAGCAGTGCGAAGACAACTTGTTGACCGCTTGTGAACAGATTTGTAACAACTTGTTTACAGACCTGTGACAACTTGTGCGTTTTTACGTATGTACTATATAGCATCACTTTACTGATGCATGTACCATGTTGTTCACAGTGAATGATTATCACATGTACTTTTTTGTTCTGCGGCTATAGTATTGTAATTTATAGTATGGCATGCATATATTTATAGTACAGTGTCAGTGCTACAATGTACAATTCACATTATATTAAAGCCCCGTTTACACTACGCTCAATATTTGGTACGGCACGGATAAAATTGGTCCCATACCACTTTTTTGGTTCTTGGACTATACCTATTTAGGTAGTCCAAGAACCAGAAAAGTGGTACAGTACCAAAAATCGAGTGTAGTGTAAAGGCCTGCAAACGGGACTTAAATGTACATCTTTGTTCGTGATTCCTTTTGTGTGCAACTACTGAAAACTTTGTACAGCAGGGATAAAGAGCAGCCGCGGAAAAGAAAGTTAGTTACTATGCCGGTATTATTAGATAGATTTAGATTTAGGACGCGGACGTCAAAGACGACGTGAAAATGGCGTGTTGTGCCCATGTATGGATATGCCCCGCCATTCTGACGCCATTTTCACGTCGTCTTTGACGTCCGCGTCCTCGATCTAAATCTGTCTACGACGCACTAGCGACGGCAACGCAACGACGATGGCCAGAACAAAGTTGTACTATACAGACCTGCATGGGAAAATGTTTAATGCAGGGGGAATGAATTAATATTCAAAGCACCAACAGCAATCTTTCAGTATCAGCCATTTATAAAACGCGGCGATACCCTACCTGGCTATTCCCACGCGAGGCGAAGAAATAAATACGAGCGGGAATAGAGCGGAAGATACGAGAACCTGTGGCAACCAGGGTACGATACCCAAGACCAAGTCACCAATTTAATAAATCTACATGATGAAACATGTACTGTGCCAGAGTGTTTTGAATAGCTTCAGAAACGATCTATTTGATAAGTTCATCAGGGCGCGCATTTTTTAAGAACTATTGCAGCTACTGGGACCAAGTCTCAATGATGAGGGCCTTTTACCCGCACTGTTACCTGTGCTCAGGGGCGGTGCTAGCCCTATTTGAATGAGGGGGGCGCATGTAAGTGATATTTTGCCGACTCATTTCAAACGCTAATTAATATTTATTTTTCCAAAATTGTTGGCGAACGGGGGGGGGGGGGGGGGGAGGAAGGGGTTTTCATTTCTACATCAAAAACATTTCCGCGCATTAAACTTTTCTTTTCGCATTAAACTTTTTCAATTGTTTGTTTAATTTTCCGTAATTGTTCTTAAATTTTAGCAACAATTATTAGTTTTTAATCAGTGTCACTCGAATATTTTAGTTTCTTTGCTCCCCATCCAGCTGGAATTAGTTCATTTGCTGGCTACCTGACGACTGGGGTGTTCCAGCCCCCACGCCCACATCCCCCCTTTAGTGCCGCCCCTGCCTGTTCTGAAATTTATAAGATGGAATGTTGAGAATGTGAGAGGATATGAGAAGGCAGGCAGATGCATCTTTTCAGTCAACAAGATTGACTTTTTACTAATGATCCGAAAGGGCCCAGTTCATCTGAAACTAATCGTGCTTCACTACTGAGTACTGGGGCAAACAAAGGGCCTACTGGGGTAAATGCCCCAGTAGTTATATAATTAAAAAATGCCCTAAGTTCATTGACATTGGCCTAGTAATTTAGGAAAATCAACATTATCTAACAGGAGAAATTCAAAGATGAAGTTTATGTAAATCTGATTTCTTTTTGTCAGTTCCCAATTATTCATGAGTTTTTGAAATTTATAGATGTGTTTTCCTTCAATTTCAGGAATTGGTTTACCAGAAATGCAGAATTGCAATCCCTCCTTTATTCATCTGGAAAATTTCAGGTTCCCCCCCAGTTTCTTCCCCCCCCCCCCTCCCATAAATAATGAACGGTCTCTTAGCCTGTGTACATGCAGACTGTATTACAGCATAATATATTTTTCTGTGCACGGCTATAGTATGTCATTAGCGCTATAGCTGTCATTATTACGAGTGAACAGAGGTTTCGCACGGCCTCAGTTCCAGGCATTTCTGCATCACGCGCCCAACCTCGTACCTTTAAACACGGGGACCCTGGGTACGAGGTTGTCACGCGCCTAGCTTGTTTAATATTGAAACATGCAGGGGGGACTTTTTAGGTTTTTATTAAAAAATCACAGTTCCTCTACATCCTCTACGATCTCCTTTTTTTTCTGGCCACAGACTCTGCTCCTCTTCCAGATGATTGTACACACATTCTCCAATAATCCCTGTCAAAATTTTCCACATCAGAGGCAAGCACGTTATTGGGCCGTAGTTTGATACTAGACCACCTTTGCTTTGGACTTTTAGTATTAGGCATGTTCGACCTTTTGTCATTCACTCAGGTATTACACCCATCTCTAAGCAAACATTTAGTTGTTCCGAAATTCTATCATGTAGGTTAATTGCAAAGTTATATATCCAGTAGCCGCGTACGCCATCTGGTCCACTATTATATATTTATATTTTTTTCCAGCGACATGTGGGTGTGGTGTAGGGTCGATATGGGGTCGATGAAAGGTTGATGTTAGGTCGATGTGAGGTCGATGAGAGGTCGACGTTGGGCGGATGTGAGGTCGATGTGAGATTGTGAGTTCGATGCGATGAGAGGTCGATGTTGGGTCGATGTGAGATCGATTCTTTGGGGTTCTGATCGTTTTCGTGACGACAATGCTTTTTGATAACGCTCGTTTTACCTTTCTTATTTTGGTTTTAATTAAATTTCCAATGCCACGAAACTTGGCCACCAAACACTTTCTAACCTGCTTTCGTGGGCTGAATGTCGCAACCTGTTTCTCTCGCTTTGGAGCAGGCGGATGTCTTCTGCTTGGAGCCAAGGCGCAGGTGGTCGAGTGATGTTCACTCTTTGAAGTGGAGCATGTCCATCCAAGCATGATTTAAATAATGATGTAAACCTGCTTTCTCATCCAAGTCATCGGTGCTATAAATGAGGCTAATGAGGCACGACTTCAATTCGTTCAATTCTGACATTAATGAATCAAATCTTATGAGTGACACAAGTGATTTGTCTTCTTTGGTCAAGAATTATGAAGACGTTTTAGGCTCTCTCTTGGACAAACATGCACCTATGAAGCGACGTACAATTACCATTCGTCCAAGGGCACCATGGTATAATGCCAATATCACAGAAGCAAAAAGGCTTCGTCGCCAACTTGAAAGGAAATGGCGCTCGTCTAAATCATTGAGCGATAGAGCAGGTTTTGTAAACCAGTGTAAAGTTGTTAATAACTTGATCTACGAATCCAAGCAATTATACTACAACGCCTTGATTGAAGAAAATTCTTCCAATTCTAAATTACTATTTAAAATAGTAAATAAGCTGCTACAGAAGAATACTGATCGACAATATCCGAAAGAACATGATGACAAAAGCCTAGCCAATTCATTTGCTGATTACTTCACTACTAAAATTGAAAAAATTCATGATGAAATCGTGTTAGCAAAGAATCTTCTTGTTGCACCCATTATTATTGAGAAAAGTCCTACGTCGGTATTTGATACCTTCAGACAAGTGACAGATAGTGATGTTCGGAAGCTACTTAGTAATTCTAAGATGAAGTCCTGCCTTATTGACCCGGCTCCTACTTTGGTATTGAAAGAATGCAATGAATCGTTACTTCCTATTTACACTAGGATAATCACCTCTCTTTGCAAAGTGCAGTAATGCCAGAACCCTTAAAGATCGCAATGTTAGATCCATTATCAAGGGTGGGTAGTAGCGAAGTAGTTGTAGTTCGCTACTGTAGCGAACTACAATTTTCAAGTAGCCAGTAGTTTTTGACTACTTTTTTAAAACAGTAGCTGTAGTATAGCGAACTACATTTTGCCTAAAAGTAGCCAAGTAGTTGACTACTTTTCAAACAGCGAATCGCTATTCGCCACTTTTTAAAATTGTTAGCAACTTGATATAGAATAGCATGATATAGACACGGTTTGCTTAAATCAATACTCAATTGTCCATTTGCACTTCTGAACACTGTAGTGCTTACCAAAAATGTCGCTTTGTGTTTACTGTTGCTACTCGTAAGTCGATTTGTTATAGGTTACATTTCAGCTTGAGTTAGTAGATGCTCCAAATACAGTAAAACTAAAATTATAGAGTAGCGAAATAGCGAAATAGTCGCTACATTTTTAAAGCAGTAGCTGTAGTCAGTAGCGAACTCAACCTCGTACCCAGGGTCCCCGTAGTGGGACCCTGGCAAACTCTGACTGCGTGACGTCACAAATCTTGAAGATTACGTAATTTGTAACTTTATGATCCGGGGGGCGATGGCCACTTTCACTGTGCAAGCAAACTTCGCGAAGGGCGAATGCAAATAATGAATATATTTGAATATTTTTTTATTTGCCCATATAAAGCTAAATATATTTACAATCTATATTTTTACAAACATTAGGGGCTAGGAACCTTTATGAAACCCTATCAGGCTTTTATTCAAAGGCCCCTAGTTTAACAATATTAATTATTATATAAAAATAGTTAAAGCTTGTTCAATCTTGTCAAAGACAAAGTAAGAGTATTTACAAATATAGCGATTTGAATATAAATATACACAAGAGTTTATTATGTGAGATTACAAATGAAAGCCGTTAGGTATGTTCCAAGAAAAGGCTTTTCAACTTTTTCTTAAAAGTAGAATAAAACATAGTATTGCTAGTTCCTTTATCAAGAGAGTTCCATATTTTAACTCCCTTGTTAACAATAGTATGTTTTGCATAATTAGTTCTACTATAATTGACATGCAATTTGTTAGAATTCCGAGTATTGTAATGATGCACTTCATTGTTTTGTATGAAGTAGTCATTAACAAATTCAGGTAGATTTTGTAAATGTTTAAAACGGTACATAAATAAACAACTTAAATAGTCATTAATCTTAAAGATATTCAAGATTTTCAATTTTTGAAACAATGGTTCAGTGTGTTCAAGATAGGATTTAAAGTTCATCAATCTGATAATTTTTTTCTGTAAATTCAGTATTTTTAGCAGCCTTGTTGGGTACGTGTTACCCCATATTAAATTCCCATAAGTAAGATATGGATAAACTAATGCATAATAAAGTACATTTAATGTATTTTTGTTTGTATAATGTCGTATTTTTGCAATCAACGCCGATGCTTTAATAATATTTTTGACAACTGAGTTTATATGGTTTTTCCATGTTAGTTCTTGATCTATTATTACACCTAGAAATTTGACAGCAGTAGCCTGATGTATAATGTTATTGTTAAGTTGAATATTAGTATCAGTGTCACATTTTTTATTTTTTGATTTAAAAATGACGTACTTAGTTTTTTTAGTATTTATTGATAATTTATTGGCGTTTAGCCATTTAGTCACTTCATTCATTTCTTTTTGCATAACATGCATTAAAGATTTGAGGCATTTGTCAGAGTAAAACGCATTTGTGTCATCGGCATACATAACAAAAGAAATTATTTCACTACAGTTCTCAATGTCGTTAATATATAACAGAAAAAGTTATACAGAATATGAAATAAAAAATATATAAACACAAAGATTCTTCTTACAATTTCGTTAACCTACTGGCGGCGGCAATCTACATAATTTTGCTAATCTTGTCTATCGAAGGGATTCGAAGAACGGAAGAAAGTATGAAAATTGACAATTTAAAAAGATGAATCACAATCAAAGATTGGCTATTTATGATAGATCTCTAAAAGTCCATTTAATATTGACAGGAATGCTTTGAATCCTTTGATACATAAATTATAGCCTATAATGGACTCATTATTGGATAAAAAAGACGACAACTTTAATTATTTTAAAGAACCTGACTGGCAAGGCTATATGCATTACTTAAGTGTATAAATTGTATGTATATTTTATTATTGAAATACAGTTCTTAAATTGATTTTGTCTGCCCTTATTTTTTATCAGCATCATTGATGCTGATTTTTGAAAATACCACTTCTAAAGCACATGTCTATGTTATTATATTGTGGAATTTTTCAATTTGACATGCATGTAGAAATTTTAAATATATAATTCATATAATTATGATGTACATGCAGTAATGTGTAAACAAAATCCTCTTATAGTTTATACTTGTATTAACAGGGATTGTCGACAAATAAATTGTCTTTCAATTGCAGACTTGTTCTGCGATTGTTTCAACCCCCTTTCCCATCACGGATGAGTAGAGGTCTATATGTTCATTGTAGTTAAATTTTATAATAGATATAGTACAATCTTATCTACAAACATGCATGCTTTGCTGTTCAACAGCTGTGATCAATGCAACTTATTGGTATGATATAACACCCTTTCCCACTTTTATTGGACAAGTTCGCAAATGAAGAACAAAATCTATTTATTGTCAGCCCCCCCCCCCAAGCGATCTTTATTCAATATGAACAACCCAGCTCAAAATGTGACAAGGAAAAGCTTGGGCATGTTTGTCTTATACTATACATACTGGCAATAGATCACTCAAAAATAGAAACTATAATATATAACTAACATAACAAATTGTAATTGAACTTGTACCTATTTCTCACAAAGGTCAGTAATTATCTTAAAAAAGTACTGGTATATGCATGCTGCATATCCGGAATTTCAAAGC